ATAAACAATTGACATTGTTACAGATACAGTGAAAAGGGAACGCTTGTGCACTGTTGGTGGGACTATACATTGGTACATTCTCGATGGAGACCAGTATGAAGATTTCTCAAAGAACTAAAAGTAGATCTACTATTTGATCCTGGAATCCCACTACTGGGTGTCTACTGAAAGGAAAAGAAATCATTATATCAGAAAGGTACCTGTACACATATGTTTATTGCAGCACAATTCACAGTTGCAAAGAAATGGAATCAACCTAAGTGTCCATCAGCTGATAAGTGGATAAAGAAAATGTGGTGTATATATATATACACCATAGAATACTTCTCAGCCATAAAAAAGGATGAAATAATGTCTTTTGCAGCAACTTGGATGGAACTGGAGCCCATTATTCTAAGGAATAGTAACTCAGGAATAGAAAACCAAATACTACATTTTCTCATTTATAAGTGGGAAATAAGCTACGGCTATGCACGGGCATACAGAATGGTGTAATGGACACTGGAGACTCAAAAGGGGAGGATGGAAGGGAGAGGAGGGTGAGGGATGAAATTGGTACAATGTACACCATTTGGGTAATGGGTACACTAAAATCTCAGACTTCACCACTACACAAAAACCCCAAAACCCCCTTGTATCCTGTACATCTACTGAAATAAGTAAATAAATAAATGTTACAAAGAGAAGCATATAATATTAAATTCTATGAAATTAAATTTCACTGTCCATAAATAAAGTTTCTGGGGGACACAGCCATACCCCCTCATTTATGTTGTTGTATTATTACATTGTAGTTGCTTTTATTAACATATGGCAGAATTGAGTAGTCGTGACATAGACCATATGACCCACAAAGCCTAAAATTCATATTATCTGGCACTTTACAGAAAAAGTTTAGTTTTTAAACTGCCCTCTAGTTCCATGTAAAAGGCAGGGTACAGAATCACCCTATTTGCATAATCATCCTGTGATGGACTGATGTTTGTATGCCCCCAAAATTCACACTGTTGAAGCCCTAACCGCTGATAGTATTTTGGGGTGGGGCCTTCGGGAGGCAATTAGGTTTAGGTGATGTCATGTGGGTGGGTCCCATGATAGGACTATTGTTGTTACAAAAAGTGGAGGAGATAACTGTTAGAGAACTCCTCCTAACAGCAGGAGTGCTGTCTCCTGCACCTTCTTGCTGTCTCCACAGCAAGAAGGTGGCCATCTGCAAGCTAGGAAGGGAGCCCTCACCAGTAAGCAAATCTGCTGACACCTTGATATTGGATTTTCCAGCCTCTAGAATTGTGAGACATAAATGTCTGCTGTTTTAGCCATCCTGTCTGTGGTATTTTGTTATAACAACCCAAGCAGACCTTACATACACCCATACATGTAAATTGAGGAAGAAAATATACCAAAATAGGGGTTATCTCTGGGTGCTGAGATTACATGCAGTGTTTGAATTTTTCATCAAATATGTTAAACATATAAGTATAAAAAAATTAATGACATGAAGAAAATAACACAGTAACTATTTACCCTATCTTCCTGTGGGCCAGACCTGTTAATAGGTGACATGCTCACTTCTGGTCCCCATTCTACCCCATGCACAGGTTCCACTGTATCTCTGTTCTACAGAGGAGGAAGGGATGACTCAGGCGATTTAAGTAGTTTGCTCAAGGTCACTCTGCCAGTAAGAAGCACTTTGTATATTTATGGTGGAAACACATTTAAGAAGCAATAAGGAACAGGGTGAAAATAGGGATTGGTTTAGGAAGAGTGTTTTATGGGAATTCATGGGAGACCAATCCTAACAGATAATGAAAAAGATAGAGATGCTTAAGACATCCTCATGTCTAGTCTGCCTCCCAAGACTGCTGTGGAAATGAGATATGATGTATTTGAAAGTACCTAGAAAATGGCAGAACAATGTACTAATGAAAGCTGGTTATTAGGAAACTTGTCACAGCACAATATGCTGACTTCTCAAGTTCTCTCATCAAAACTTTCTTGAATTAGAGATAGTATAAATGTTCAAGAAGAAAGAACTGGTCGACTAAACTATGATACCTCTACACAATGGAATGATACTATGCAATATTTTTTTAAAAACCAAGAAGTAATCATATTGTTGCTCTAGTGTTGGCCTTACAGTTTGGGGACTGCACTGTGGTAATGTAGGATAAAGCAAATGAGTAGAGTAATTATGCGGTGATTCACAATGTCCTTGAGAACCAGGATTCCTAGCATAGAGAAAGGAGGCAAAGATGGAAGAGGTTAAATAAAATCCCCTGTAGTTCTGAATTTGAATTGAAAATATGAATTTGAACTCGTGATATATTTTTATTGCAAACAACAATATATTCCTAACTCTGTCCACTGAAAATGATGAACAATCCAGAAACGATGAGCATGCCTAAGTGCCTAGATTGTGGCCTCTAAAAGCCATTTCTCACTAAGAGGAATCAGGGATCCTTGGAGACATGGCTTATTCCAGGTCTAGGGCAGAGCCTGGAACATCTTAACTCCCTTGCAATTTGGATATCAAGGTCGGAAGGAGCCAACTGGCTAGAGATGGCCCAATCCAAGTATCAATAAAAATACTGAGCAGAAGAAATGAAAACGTATCAAATATGTTTAAACTCATGAGTTTACAAAGATACTAAAAACAAAACAAAAACCTTAATTGGTTACCATAGGAAGATAATAGTAAACTATTCATTATTTTGAAAACTTTTGAAGCAAATAAAGGAAAAGACACCAAACATTTATCCTGCCTTTTAAAACATGAACTGCACTACTACTTAATAAAATAGTAGTTGAGGGAAGTTTCTACTTATGAAAGCATTCCAGCTAGTAAATGAAGGATGATAAAATTAGAACATTGCCATTTAGTAACTCCTAATTAACTAATGGGTCTAAGCAATAAATATCAATGGCTACCAAAATGACAAAAAGCAAGATAGCTAGACATTATGCACCTTCTATTAGGAGAGTACAACACAGTCCATGAAGTAGTTTTGTCCACAAAAAAATCAAACCTAAATCTGATTAAATATCTAGAATCAAACAATCAATTTATTGGAAATATAGATGATAGAAGAACATGTTAAATAGCACCACAGGTCTTCAATCAGAAAAATCCAGACCTTGGAAATCTTTCCAGGACAAAGGATCTGATTCCTTCATCGAATAAATTACAAAGGGCACCTAGAGATGAAAATACACTCAAATGTTGATCTACTGCAATGTGTGGACCTTATTTGGATTCTGATTTTAAATAAAGGCATTTACAGGACTACTATATGTTTGAACACTCACCTGACATTTAATGATATTAAGAGATTATTGCTAATTTGTTAAAATGTGATATGGTATTGTTTTAATGTTAAAACAAAAGGGTAAGTTTCTTTCAGAAATACATATGCAAGTTTTACAGCTGAAAGGATACAATGTCTTGGATTTGTTTTAGAATAACCCAGTGGCAGGTGAGGCGAGGGTACAGATAACATGAGATCAGTCGTGTATTGATGGGTGTTGAGGCTGGATGAGGGTCTACAAAGGCTTGTTGTTTTGCTATTTCTCCTTTTCTGCATGTTTAAAAGTTTCCATATTACAAGATTAAAGTAAATCCTCCTTGATGTCATGCAAGAGCTGCATGCCTCATGGGTCTGCCCTCGTGTGCCAAGACTAAGGAGAGTCGAGCTTGGCGCTTCAGGTCATCCGCCCAGGGAGCCCCGTGGAGCTCCTCTGTCACTCTCCTCCCTGGGCCGTGTCGATACAGTGCTGGGGAGCACAAATGCACACTGGAATATCTCAGGACAAAAGGAGTTCTCATGACTCTTTTGCATTTTGCTTTGAAGCTGCAAAGGGTGTGAGAGGGTCATGATTTCATGGTGCAAAGACACAGAACTCTAGGGAACCAAATCTGCCAGCGTAGAAATTCGATGGAGTTCTATCGAAAGGTGCTTGTTGTGTTGAGGTTAATAGGTGTTTCCATCCTGACGTTCTCAGCAAATGACAAGGCAAATCCAATGACAAGGGACACTGGGTGTGTTCTCATGCCATTATTTGCATTGGTGTAGCTACACTGAGTTTCCTAAAGCAGACAATACCGTCTACAGGAGGATAAACTACTCAAATTCTCTACTGGGGACCCCACAGGCAAGAGGAATGAGGAGTGAGGTCTAGGAGATAAGAGCAAAATATTAAGCCCTGTCACTGGGATAGTGAAAGGAAATAAAAATTAGGGGCCAGGAAATAAGAAACCAATCTGATGCTTATGTTTACAAATGCACCTCCCAGCACTCAAGATTAAACCTGCTGTTTGGGGTAGCTTCTGTGTCTCACGCCGGCCTCGCCAGCGTCTGTGAACACCCTACTTGTGTCACATAGGGTGGGCTCGTGTTAGCCCCAGACCTCACCCTTTGAGGGCACCTGTTGTACCGTCAAAACTGCCTGTTTGCTTGTCTATCCTCCACACCAGACTGTAACCTTGCTGAGGGCAGGGGGTTTAGTCTATTCTCTGTGGTGTCTCATCACATAGCGCAGGGTCTGGAATGCAGCCCTGCTCAAGGAATATTCCCTGCACAGCTGGGCGTCACTACGGAAGCAGTGCAGAGCACGGCTTGTGAGTGTGGGCTTCACAGTTAGACAGGTGCGGGTTTGACTCATGGCTCTGCCAACTCACTGTACCTCTTTACCAACACTGTGTTAGGGTTTCCGGATTTGACTACTGACCTACTATAAGACTTCAGATATTATAAAACACTTTAAGATTTTCCTAGAAAAGATAAAGCATATAACTGAAAATTTCAGTTTCTATGTAACAACACAACCAGTCTAGGAAAACAATCCTGGGATTTTGCTGTGCACCTGTATGGAATGGTTTCTGTTGATGGACTTAAAAATAATAAAAGCCGAATTCCAACTAGCCACCATGCCTGGGACTTGTGTTAACGGGCCAGGTGGTGGAGTGGACAAATGGACACAACCATTCAAGTAGATAAGCAAACCTGGGCATCTTCAAATGTGTATCTCCCTCCGTCTTTGACATTTTGACTGGTTATCTCGTAGCTGTGAGAATCCAGGTTGATTGCACTTGGGGCCCCTGGGGCCAGAAACTCTTGCCAGATTTCTTCCACCCTCTTGGCCACATCCTGTAGGGGTTGTTTCTTGAGATCTTGGACAGCCAGCCAGAACCTGAAGTGGAAGCAGAAACAAAGTCAGTTCCAGGGGGCTCAGCACCTGGACCCTGCTGGAGGTGGCCCAAGAACTATGTCCCATGAAACTCCTTATGCTGCATCCCCCAGCCTGCCCTGATGCCACTGCAGGTCACAAAGATCATGCGGACTGCTGAAAACCCAAAGGGTGTTCCACTACTGTGAAGAATGGACGTGCATAGTAAAAGATCAATGTGCTTCTGGTTATCAAAAAGAGATTTCTCCCCCTCTGCATCCAAGTTTCTCAACCCCAGCACCATTGCCATTTCAGGCTGGACAATTCTTTGTCGTGGGGGGCCGTCCTGTGCATTGTAGGACGTTTAGCAGCAACCTTGGCCTCTACCAAGGTTGTCATCTATTATCACTAGATGACAATAGCACCACTGCTTTCCAACAACTCAAAACGTTTCCAGGCATTACCAAATGTCCCCTGGGGGGGTGCAATCACTCTGATGGAGAACCGCTGCTCTACACAGGTGCCACGACACTAAAAACTGGAGTCCCTTTGTCAACTCTGGTTGGGACCAGCTGGGGCCATCAGAATGGAGGAAAGATCAGAGAAGCAGGCAGAATCCTGGAATCACAGAGAATATGCGAGCTGGGACGATCCAGCTATTCCTGTTACAGATGGAGAGACTGGGCTGATTCACATCAGCGTTCAGCGTTGTGCTTGGCAAACAGTGGGTGCTCCACAAATGCTTTCGGATCAAAGATGGGCTCATCTGGAAAAATGCTGAAGTGGCGCACATGGGGACTTCTCTGCCAAAAGATTCTCCTTGCTGCGTCTTTGCCTCTGTAACCCCCCAGCACCCGCATGGGAGCAGCCCCGGGGAGGCCAAGGGTGAGCTCTTTTCTCCTGAGAGCAGCAGCCACCAGGGCCAAAGCGTGACCACAGCTCCCGGGTCCTGAGCATGGCTCCCATGGCAGCTCTTCAGCAGGGCCCAGGGCTGGGAGCAACGCCCTTTGCCCCATGGCTGGGACAGGCTAGCTTCCCCATCGATGAGATAGGAGGACAGGTCCCGCGTAGTCCCTGCAGCCGCTGGAATCACAAGTAGTCTGGTCAATGAAAGGGAGGGGACGAGAAAAGCTAACCCACGACATGGCGGAAAGTGCATTCAGTCTGTCATCGAATTTCACCCAAAGTGAGATGTACTTTTTTTTTTTTTTTAAAGGTTAACCATGTTTTTCTGTTGCTGTTCAGAGAAATGTCTTTGGAGCCAAGTGCATAGCTCGAAGGTGCCACTCAGTGGCAGACTGGGGTAATGCAGCTTCGTTTCCACAAGGTGAGAAGCGGTGTGCGAGTGCGAGTGCATGTGCGCATGTGTGTGTTTTCGCAGAATGCTGGGGTTCTAACGATCGCCTCAAAGAGAGCCCCTGTGGTCCCTGCACTGATCCTGCAGAGCCAAGTGAAAGGCAGGGAGGGAGACGACCTCACTCTATCAGGGGACCAGGAAGCACAGTCCTGCCCTCACCCTGTCCATGGCGTTGTCTTGAATGGCTGTATCTCTCTGAGTGTCTCTTCCTCACCTGTAAAATGGGCACAAAGTGGGTGGGGGGCTATGTGGGAGGGGTCTGGAACACTTCCCATCCAGACTCAACTCGGAAATGCTTTTGGGTCCCGTGGATGGGAGCTGAGGAGAGGGTCAGTGTGGTGGCTGCAGGTTCAATACTGCCCCAGTGTGACCCCTTGGATTTCGCCTCCCTCTCCTTAGGTGGCCTGGGCAGAAGCTGCCAGGGGCTCTTGCTGGCATCTCCCACCCTTCAGTGCCAGCTCTCTTTCTTTCTGCCGCAGGATCCTGGGACCTCAGGTCCTTCTGGCTAACAAGGGAGAGGAGAGCAGCAGTGTGTCTTTAACCCCATCCAGGGTGGCAGGTGCGGAAGAGTCTGAAGGGGGTGGTTAACCTGCGGGATTTTCCCGTGGGCCCTGGCAGCTCGAGCTGGGGTGCGGGTCTCCTCCCTCTCCCAGGCCTTTCCCTAGTTCCTCAGGGCTCTCTGTCCACCTAAGGTCTGCCACGGAATGGAGGAGGGGCCAGAAGGCTTAAAGGTGACAACAGCTGTCTGGCGAGGAGAGTACCCATAAGCCTTCCTCTGCCTGGAAGACAGGGTTTGATGAAAAATTTAGGAAAAGTGGCTGTAAAGAAAGAAGCTGTGTTGATTTTAACAAAGACTGGAAGGTGTGCTAAGAGGCAATACTCCAAAGCTTAAGCCAGTGAGTTCTCCTCGACCACATGCCGGGCAGAGGGGACAGCTGGCTCACTTGGGGAGTCTCCTCTGCACTGACCTTCTGGGTCAGCATCCATCCCATGCCCAGCGGGGCCCTGCAACTTCTCGCACGAATGGATGAAGCTAGTGATCTCCTGCCCCCTCAATCAATGTGCTATGGGACATCACCTTCTGTCACCTCTGTCCCCTTGCCCCAGTTCGCTCTGAGGGGGAGCTTTTGGGTCCCTCTGGGAAGGCCCTGAGGACCCCTGCTGCTTCCAAGCTCTGCAGGCTCCCTGTGCATCCGGAGGCCTCAGTGTCCCTTCCTTGGGGTCATTTGGGAGCCACACAATGCACGTCACGTAGGTGGATATATAGGGAAAGTCTAGAGCTAATGTCAATGCAAACATCAGAATCGAATTTAATAAATTTCTATATAAAAAACTAAAAGATTCCCTTTGTCAAATAAAACCAAGAATTAAAAAAAAAAAAAAAGCAGAAGGAAAAACAACAGGCTTGCTGGGGGTGGGGACCAGGGAGAAGGGAGGGTGTCGGGGTGACAGCAGTTTCTCTCCCCACACACGCGTGGGCTCTCCTCAGCCTCCTGTCTGCCTTGGAGATGACCTGCCTCGTCCCTCTCAGGCGACAGCAAAAATGCTGTTGCAACGGCATCCTGACATCCCATGTGTGTTTACCGTCCCTGGCTTTGAAGAACCTTTGTGTCAATTTGAAATTCAGAACAGGCTGCGGTCTCTGTTTGCCATCTCCGAGCCCCACAGGCCCGAGCCGGGAGCTCCGAGCCCAGGCTGAGCGGCCACACTCCCCCCACACAGAGCCACCAAAGCCCCGTTCTGCCCATCTACTGCCCACGGGAGGCCCATTGAGGCTTGGAAGCTCCTGCTCTTATCAAAAGCCTGCAGGTACCGCTCCTCCCCCGCGATGCCGGCAGGGAGGGAGGACAATGCCAGCAGCAGCCATGTCAAATCCACCCAGCCTGCACTAAGCCTCCGTGGCTTGCAGCAGAAGGGCTGTGGTGACTGGCGGGCCTCAAGGGCTGGTATCTGGGAGACCACCTGTCCTGCCTCTGGTCCCTGCCAATCGTCAGAGCAGCGGGGGGCAGCCCCTGTGCCGGCATTTGATCCTCGTTCATGGCTCAGAAACGCTGGTGGGGAAACTGGGCTTTGGGGAGAGCCATTCTGGGCTCAGAAGCCACTGGGGCGAAGCAGTGGGGACGGGGCTTGAAACCGTCCAGGGGCTGCCTGCGGGGGGCCTCCTTTCTCCCTCAGTGCCCACAAGGATTGGGGTTCTCTCTTGCAGGCTGCTGGCCGGAGCAAGAGAAACCGTGTAGCCGTTGGTCATTCTCCACCTTGCCAGGAGGTCTGGGTGGGCCTTCAATGACCAGTTTCCATATCTTTTCATAACTTAGAATTTTCAGGGGTTAGTGACTACAGCTTTTGGTTCGTTCCCAGAGAAAAGCAAACTCCACGGCAGAAGAAAGTGTTTCTGTGCCCCCTGCTGGTCAACCAGAGACTCGGGAACAATGGCTTAAACTTGATTTCCACCGCTGGGCTGAAATTCTTGGGTGCCTGCATTAGGAGCCCCAGCAGCACCACCAAGCTGGGTGGGGCTCGCTGGGCAGTGCCTGCAACGCTGCCAGTGGCCGTGGTGTCCTGGGAGTCGTCACCTCCGCTCTGCTCAATCATGCGTTCGGTCAGTGGTGGGTCCTCCTGGGGCTACTGAGCCTCGTGAGGTCTTCCTGGGACTGGGGGCACATGCCGGAGACGGGAGCTCTCCAGGCAAAACGGGCACCCCCCGTGTTCTGTTTTAATTGCTTCTCCCTTCAGCTGACACCGTGTGGAACTCGGATCATCAATCTGCAGGTTAGAAGAACAACTACCTTCTCTCAGGAGATGTTACAGCTCATAAAAAATGTACAGGGGATGCTCTTCGCTGTGAGTTTTGATTTTTAACTCGTGCTCTGCCATGTGGCAGAGAGTGTCAAGGCAGGGATGTGGGAGAGGAGGCAGAGGTGGCAAAGAGGGACTGTCCTCGTTCTGGGAAAGTGCCCAGAGAAGGGGGCAGGACGTGGCCAGATAACTCAGCAGGGCGTCCTGCTTCAGAACTGCGAGGCTCCTGCCTTGCGGATGAAAAGCTGTGAGCTTCCAGAGGCTCTCAGCAGACAGCTGTGTCCGTGGGCCCTCCCACTGGGGACGGAGCCCTGGCTCGGCTCGGGCGGGCTGGGAAAGGAGGCAGAGAGGCAGCCCCTGCCACAGGGCACTCACAGCTGCAGCAAATGCCTTGCTGGCCGCGCCCCTCCCAGCCCTGGAGACGGAGCCCCCTATCTCAGCTCACAGACTCACCCAGAAGAAAATGAGCAAAAGGGACTTCAAATTCTATTATAGCTTCATAGAAATCATTCCTTAAAGGATCCAGGGTGACATGTTTAGGCCCCTCCGTCCCACATTCTGAAGCTCTGCTATAAATTTGGTCACTTGGCTACTTAACTGGCCTGAGTGCACTGTGTAAAAATGTTAGGCTCTAAGCACCCTTTTCCCCAGAGAGATGTGAGGGAGCGCGGAAGGGCGGATGTGGAGAGGCACTTTGCAATTTATCCACGTGGGTTCTGGGCAGTCTCTTGTCCTGCCACTCTCCAACGCCAGTAGCCTGGGCCCCTGGCCAATCCTGGGGAGAAGGGACGACCCCAGCACGGCCAGCACAGCACATTGGCAGGGTCCTTTAGTCGAGCCCTACAGCACAGCTCCCAGGGGCTGCCATTTCCGTGGACCAAGGTGGAGGCGTGTCTGCCCGCGCTGGACAAAGGGGAAACGGGGTCAGCTCTGAATCCTTGGGACCTAGTTCCTGGGAGGCGCTAAACCAGCATCTGCGGTGGAAGGAGTGAACACAAAGGGGCGGAGAAGAAGCCCCTTGTGATGGGTGAGCAGAGTCCTGAAGTTGCGTGATTTAAAACTGAGCCTCCCTGCAACGTATCCGATTATGCCGAATACCATAAAAATGGAACTTGGGCCTCCAGAGAGGATTTTAGAAGCTCTTGGGTTATGCTTTTCCTCTTTTCCCTGTTGCTCTGTTTTCTTTACTCCCTTCCTGTTGTGGATCGGAGAGGTGATCCTCTTAAGTCTGGATTTATGCCTGTACGCTGGGGCACAGACTCGGCTCTGGTGTGCTAACACGCGCTCACACACGCTTTCACCCCAGATTAAAGGTAGCCCTCCTGGCAGGGGGCAAGGAGCTGGCAGAGACGCAGGAGGTGACGGCAGGAGGAAGCACTGAACACCTGCCAGGGACACACTTCTCGGTGCACTCCGAGCCCTGAGCATAACGCATATTTTGTGAAACTGGTCTGAACTGATAAGTGGCTCTGGCTACACCAAGGCTTTCCAGAATGAATGCCTCAGACTGAGCAAGGCGGAAGCTGAGCCAGCAGGTGCTCCTGGGACCCTCACAATGACCAGGACCCTGTGGTCATCCTTCAAACTCCCTGTAACAGTGCAGGCAGAAGAGGGTCATAAGACTACTTGTGGGCTGAGACAGAGTTAGGTAAAGGGGAACCTTGATACCACTTCATCTTGGGGACCCATGGGGGTGGGGGAGAAGGGGAGATGGGAAGGATGCCCAGCTGTGGCTCACAGGGCCCATGCTGGGGTGGAACCCGGGACTGAGCTGGCCACACCGAGAGGCCACATGCGTACACCAAGCTGGCCACAGAGGGGCATAGCCTGGGAGGCTGGTCTGAGCGCCACTCCAGTGAAGAGTATTAGACGTCAAACCTTCTGTTATAAACACTTTGTTAGGCATTGGAGCTCTGGGTTGTGTTTGAATGTGCTTCAGCATAAGGAAAGTACACATGAGTCATAAATAAGTCATAAATAAGTCACCAAAAATAAGGTGCTGGACCTTATCTAGTTTACAGTGGACACGTGGATGTCTAGAAAGGTGTGGGTGGCATCTACTCCCCCCAGGACTTTGTGTTGTGAGAGAGTCCCACTATCACCACTTTGCTCACACCGTCTTCCACCTTGGAATGTTCTCCCTACCCTTCTTTGCCTATTGACATCCTGCGTGTTCTTCAAAGTCCAGCTACGACTTATCTACTGTGGCTTACATTGATTTCTCTCTCCCGTAAGTAATTCCAAAATAGTTTTTAGAGTTTACACTCATTTATGTACATTTAGTGATTTGATCGTTCCTTGCATTTTTTTCATCAAGAACCTACCAGGTTGTTGCAGGCAAAGGTCATACATCCTGACTTGCACCCCTCAGCAGACTCTTGCGGGGCTTGATACGGAATAGGTGTGGCATAAATATCACTTCATTTAAGTATGAGTTCAAACTTCAAATTCATAACATGGATTTTGAACATTAACATTGGAGGGTCAAACTTTTTAAACAGGGGGATAAAAAAAATAACAAATTAAAAAAAAAAGAAGAAAAAAACATTGGAGGGGACAGTCCTTAGCCTGTGGTATATGCTCTGACTTTTTAAAGTCAAAAACTGTTTAAAAGTTATTAAAACCCTTTTAAAGAAAATAGCACTGGAAGATGGGAATTAACCTGGTATAAAAAAGAGAACATTGTGCAAAGGGGAGAGGAAGAGAGAGAGAGAGAGAGAGAGAGAGAGAGAGAGAGAGAGATCCATCTTACCCATTAATAAGCACCAGTTTGCTAAGATCACTCAGAGGGCTTAGATAAGTCATGTTTTCCGTGGGTCCCTGATTCTTCAAGTAATATGATCAAAGGATGAATAAACAAGTCCCCACATCTTTCACAACCAAGGGGCCTTTTCCTTTTAATGCACCCCTTTTTCATCCACTTATATTGGACCCCATATTTTGAATGTTTCATTTTTTTTCTCCTATCAATCGGTAATTATTAACACATTTCCCTCAAAAAGTATTAGTTATAGACCAATAGAAACAACTAGATGTCCTCACTGGCATCAGATGATCAGAGTAACCACTGCATGGAGCTGACAGAATTCCTTAAAAAAGGAAGAGGCATATTCTAATTAGCTTGTCCAGTTACGTTTCCAGTTATTGAGTGATATTTACTTTGGCTCTTTGAAATTCTGAAATGTGCTTATTAACTCCTCTCTCTTCTGTTCAGCTCAGGACCCTAGACTGGGAAGTTTTGGAGGAGAGAGCCTCTGAAATGCCCCACCCCCGCCCCGAAGTTCCGTGATTCTACGGTTGTTCCCAAAGGATGGTATCGTCAAATCCATCTGTTTAATTACTATTCAGGACTTGTTCCCAATTAGTTGAACAAATGTCATCCGGACTTCAACTAAAAAATGCTTAGTGTTGGTAGGTGCTATTATGGTGGTAACAAGTTGCATATTTTAATTTGCTCTTCTCCATTTCAACCTTAGATTAGCTGGCATTTGAATTTGAACCCTGATGATGTTTTATTGAGAAAGGGAGATACGGACAGGTGGAGAGACAGATTATGCAAATGTCTTCACACACATTCTGCACACAGCTCACACCTTGCAGAGATTTACCTGAGGTTTTCGGAACTGAACTCGGACTCCAGGAATCGTAGGAACTGGTCCCGCCCCACCTGGTCTTTCAATATCTCGTCGAAAGAGAAGCCCCATCTTTTTACTCGCTGCTGGCTGGGCTCTTTGCTTTGGGGTGGAGGGAGAAGGTTTAAAACATGGTCAATACCAGGGAAAAGCCTGTGTCCTATTTTCTTCTGTGACTCAGATCCATCCTGCTGCCACATACTGAAGGAAAACGTCTCATAGTTAAGGGACAGATTCTACAAAAGCTGCACAAATTCAAAATTGTAGACTTTGTACACCAACAGTAACAAACAGTGAAAAAGGTCCTCTAAAGGAGGCACGTGAAAGGGACAGTGTCCAGGAAGGGTCACCAGGGTGCCCAGTGGCTGCTGTCTACAGGAAGCAATGCCACCATCCACTGGGGCTCCCTAGACCATTCCCGTCAATTATGGGCCCGACTCCATCATTTTTTCACTTTCACTATAACCGAGGATGCTTCGAGAACCCAACCTTTCATCAGAGACATCGTCCTCTATCCCTTGCCCCTTCTTCCATCCACGGGGGAAGGAACTAGGGTCCTGTTTAGAGTCGAGTGAAGTCAGAAATGCATCAGCTCATCCAGGATAAACTGTATTCACTTGTTCAGAGGCAGGACGTTGCCTTTGCTTATTGAGTTAACAGCCACGTACGGTGCTTACGACAGGCTAGACGTTGTTCCAAGCATTTCACATCTGCTAGTTCGCTGAGTCCTCACAACTACTCTAGGACAAATGTGCTAGTACTATTCCCATTTTCCAGATAGGGAAACTGAGGCCTGGTGACAGTGTGCCTAAGGACACATAGCTAGGAAGTGTTAGAGTCAAGGATCACATCTAGACCACGTGCCCCAGAGGGCAGCTCTTAACGCTGCTGCGCTGCGTGCCTCACCTTGGCCACCGTCTCACTTGCAGACTAGAGAAGGGGTGCTGGTCTTATTCTTCTGGCAGTGGACTATGAGAATAGTTCCTTCATCTTCTGTCCTTCCATTAAACTTCACTCACTGTATTTATTCCACTGACCCTTCAAGCAGCAATAGGGTTCTTTTTTTTTAGCATATTATGGGGGTACAAGTGTTAAGGTTACATATATTGCCCATGCCCCCCTCCCCCCTCGAGTAAGAGCTTCAAGTGTGACCATCCCCCAAACGTTGCACATCTTACTTGTTGTGGTTGTATATACCCATCCCCTCCTCCCCCCACCCACCCTCCGGACACCCGATAAATGTTACTCCTATATGTCCACTTAGGAGTTGATCCGTTAATACCAATTTGCTGGTGAGTACATGTGGTGCTTGTTTTTCCATTCTTGAGATACATCACTTAGTTGAATGGATTCCAGCTGTATCCAAGAATATACAAGAGGTGCTATAGCAATAGGGTTCTAAAACAAAGTCACCTGCTATATAGCTCCTTCCTGCTCAAGGTGTGGCCTGTGGACCAGAGCAGGATCCCACCCACCGGCTGAACCAGAACCTAGAGTTGAACAAGATCCCCAGGTGATTTATGTCCGCATAAATCACATTTGGGAAACACGGGTCTAGCAATATTTAAAAATAGACACATACTTTTTATTCTTTCTAACACACAGTAAATGAATAAAATCATATATCCTCTTATTATGGAGTTGACATATTCTCAATATTTACCTTAGAAATTACGCTTAGGGAGGAGGGGAAGAGAGCTTGTGTGTTGGAAGGCTTGGACAAGCAAATAACTCTGGATGGGCGCTGTCCAATGAAACCTCCTGTGATGATGGAAATATGCTATAACTGTGAGATACTGAGCACTTCAAAGGCGGCCAGTGTGATTGAGGAACTTGCTTTTACAATTTATTCAATTTTAATAATTAAAGCTTAAAATTAAATGGCCACACATGGCTAGTGGCTACTGTATCAGGTACACAGCTCGAGACACAAACCATCCCAACCCAACTACTTCTGCACAGATAGACAAAATTAGCAACAGCAGTATTTCCAGTTCCAAGGACGGTGACCAACAGATCACGTACTTGGGGATCAGGGAGTCCCTTACTGTACAACTTTGTGTTTCTAGGCATAGCTCAATAGGGTCACAGCTGGAAACTAAGTCCATCAGGTCAAAGAATGGGGAATTCCATGTAAGAGCTCTCCCTGCCCAGGTAAATTTTTGGGGTGAGCCGGAAAGCTTGGAGTGTCACTCTGGATATAGAGTCAGAGGGAGGCCCAGGACAGAAGTCAGTAATATCTAGGAAGCTACAAGGTTACCCCCTTTCAGCAGAAATAAGGGGGCCTGGAGAGACAGGATACCCTGGTGTACCAGTTTCTTGGGAGTGTCATGACAAAGTACTAACAAACTGGGTGGCTTTAACACAACAGAAATTTATTCTCTCACAGTTCTGGAGGCTAGCCGTCCAGAATCAAGTTGGTGGCAGGGTCACGCTCTCTCTCTTGGAAAGCATTAAGGGAGAATCTGTTCCATACTCTTAGCTTCTGATGTTGCAGCAATGCCTGGCATTCTTCAGCTTATAGACACATTGCTCCAATCTCTCCTCTGCCATCTCATAGCATCCTCCCTGTGTTTCCGTGTCTGTGTCTCTATTTTCTCTTATACACACATCACTCATATTGGATTAGGGGCCCACTCTACTGCAATATGACCTCATCTTAACTAATTGCATCTGCGACAACTCTATTTCCAAATAGAATTTGGAGATTCTGAGGTTCTGGGAAGAACATGAATTTGGGGGTGATGCTATTAACCATATATACTTGGGTTTCCTCACCTGTCCATTATTCTCAATCCTATTTCTACAACTAGATGCTCCACATCTTCTCCTTGTTTTCCTGGTACTATTTGGCCATTGGGATTCCTTTCTATTAAAAGCTTCTTGGATACAACTTCCCTATACATATCTTTCTTGTACCACTTGGGCACTTCCAACATCATCCACTGTAAGGTTCAAGGACAGACTTGAACATGTTGCCTCCACTAAATGGTCTCTTGTGGTTATATGGTAATTCTGAAAATTAAAATATCTCTCAACATCGATCCCCAGGTAACTGGGCAATAACTCTTCCTTGGCCAAACTCAAGCAAATAATCCATCCCTTTATTTATATCCATTGTGCAGAGGTGCTTCCTTGCAATGTATTCTTTATTATAGCTTTGTATCATCAATTGTGTTTTTAAGAGTTTATGCCATTGTCTTGCCAGCTGTCTTGGGAGCTCTCTGAGGATGGAGACTGTGCCTCCTGGTGTCTCTGCATTCACCACAGTGCTTTTCACATGGCAAGATGCTACAAGAATCAATAAAAAAATGTGCACAGTGGTGTGGGTGACGTGTCCTTATCCTGACAGTGTTTTCTAATCACTAGCTGGATGCCTTTTTCTAACTCTTATTTGTCCTCTGTGCCCATTGAAGCTCACCAAATTCCTGCCTCCATCTGGGCAGCCCAAGCCAACATGTCCCAAAGACAGGTGGCCCTCCAAGGGCATCTATCTTTCATTCCAGCTGATCTCTCAGCTAAAGGACACGGAGGAAATCTCCCAAATGGAGAATAAGAAAGCCAGGTTCTGAGAAGCAACCATCTGTGACAATGCTCATTTCTGCAGGGCCCTCATAGTGCTATGCATGGTGCAAGGAGCTGTCCTTACAGTGCTTGCTCCATTTAAATCTCAACATAAGCCAGGGAAGCAGATATTTGTACTTAAATTTCCATGGTTCAAAAGAAGTCAGATTGTCCAAGGCCACATAGCTGGTGAGTGGCAGTCTGGAATTGGAACCCAGGTCTGCCTGTCTCCAAAGGCTATTCTTTTTTGCACTTCACCACCCTGCCTTCTAGTGTATTCCCTCATTTGATGTCTAAACTAAGACTTGGGTAAAGATGTAAAACTACTTTCAAAATCCCTTTTTTTAAAAGAGTCAGGGTCTTGTTCTGTCTCCCAGGCTGGAGTTCAGTGGTGCGGTCGTAGTTCTCAGCAGACTTGAACTCTTGGGCTCAAGCAATCCTCCCACATCAGCCTTCCAAGTAGTTGGGACTACAGATATGCACCACCATGCCCAGCTAACTTTTTAAAAAAATTTAAAGTTTTTTAGAGACAAGGTCTCACTAAGTTGCCCAGGCTGGTCTTGAACTCCTGGCCTCAAGCGATCCTCCTGCCTCAGCCTTCTAAATAGTTGAGATTGCAGGCATGAGCCACCATGCCCATCCAAAAATACTTTTGAGTTATGTTATAGACTGAATGTTTGTGTCCCCCTTCAATTCATATATTGAAGTCTTGATCCCCCAATGTGATGGTATTAGGAGGTGGGGCCTTTGGTAAGTGATTAGAGCATGAATGGGATTAGTGCCCTTACAAGAGGCTCCAGAGAGAACTCTTGCTCTTCTGCCATGTGGGGCACAGTGAGAAGACAGCCTTCTATGAACTAGAAAGCAAGCCCTCCTAAGACTCTGAATTTGCCAGCACCTTGATCTTGGCCTTCCTGGCTTCCAGAACTGTGAGAAATAAATTTCTGTTATTTATAAGCCACACAGTCTATGGCATTTTTGTTATAATAGCTCAAATGAACTAAGACAGCTTACAGAAAATTACAAAAGAAGGAAACAGTTCCTTAAAGATAAAATATACAATGACCCCATCTCAGAGCCAAGGCTATGGAATAAATAATCACAATTTTACTTCACATCCCAAGAACAACCTGAGGGGCCTGAATGCTCCAATGGGGACTTGTCCAGTTATTTACTGCTGTGTAACAAACCACCCCAAATGCAAAGGCTTAAAACAGCAATTTATCTTTCTCTCTCACTATACTGTGTGTCAACTGGGCTTGACTGAGTGGCTGTCGCTTGGGATCTCTCTCATGTAGTTGGCTGGCAGCCGGGGTGGGGTCACTTGAAGGTTTGACTGGGATCCAGGATGGCAGCTGATGCCGGGCATTGGCCAGAGTGTCCACACACGGCCTCTCCAGTGCCCTTGGACGTCTCGAGTGTGGCAGATGGGTTCCAAAAGGGAATGTCTCAAGGGCAAATGTTTCAAACAACTAAGGTAGAAGCCACAGGGGTTCTGTATGACCTGTTCTCAGAATGTCCCTTCTGCCACACTCTAT